AGGGGATGCTTTAGGGCGGGGCTACACGGTGATTGACAGGTCTCAATATGGCTACAGGAAGCTTCAAAACAGCAGTCCACAAACAAATCAGTGATGTCACAGTGAATAGATCCACTTCTTATAGTCCATGACTATTAACAATAGAGTGACTGTCCACAGTTGCTTTTCAAGAGGACATTATCTGTTGTATTTCCTTGTATAAAGTACTGCAGTTCTAGTTGTACATCAAAATTTAAATAGTCAAGTTTGTCCTCTCAGTATTTTGGACAATCTCTAAAGACATTAACATGGTCACAGCTTCTCCCACATAAAGGTGCTGCTCCATTTAACCAGAGGACGTTACTAATTAGGTTCTTGGATTGAAAATTAAACAAAAAAATGAAAGTTTATACTCACTTATGTCATTCTGCTGACAAGACGTTAGATTTGAACTCCTTGATGGATCTGAAGGGAGAGCTCTTCTACTCTCGTGGCTGTGGTTTATTCGACAGGGATCTAAAATCTGAAGCTCCATTGATTTTTAAGAACATGGGGCGAGAAAGTTTGAGCTGCATGCTTTAAATCAGAAGATCAGAAGAATTTTTGATTTGAAAAAGATCTTCAGAACGATCAAGAGCCTGTTGGTCTGAGCCTCCTGCTGCCTCTCTGTCTCTGCTCCTCAGATACAACATGTGAAGCTTAAAAGATGAATCTGGGGAAAACATTCCTCCTCTGTATTTATTTTTTCATGTAGGGAAGCAAAGAGGTTTCTGCCAATGAAAACACGTAAAAACTGAGAACATCTGCTCCACTGAGAGTTTGAAACGGCCTCTTTGAAGATGCACTCATTTGTGTTTGGGGTCTAGTGAGTCTGTGTAATGCGAGAGGTATTAGTGTAACGTACTGACCCCCTCACAGTTTACCGTTAACCATCAGAGTGTAAATAAAGTTGTACTGACTCAGTGAACATGTGTTTCTAGTCTCTGATCGTGTTTCATTGTAAACAACCAGTCAGAGGAGAGCTAGTAACGTTAGCAGCACCGCTAACGGCTAACCAACGGAGGGTCACTTCAGGTACATCATGATGCCTTCAGGCTCTGCTCAGTGAACATGAGTACTGGCTGAAGGTACATTATAATGTTATCGTGATGTGTTCACATGTCATCTGTAAAATGTAGTTTTAGTGATAAACTTGGAGATGTTTTCACATTAATATAAAACAGATATTATGTTGATCCGAACCGTGACTTTTATGATCCGTTGTACCTCTAGTAAGAGTAGTTGCTTGTTTATAACAGTTGCATATATCAAGCATTTTCGGTTGCTTTTGATAGCTCTCCACCCATTAACCGGTAACTAACGGGTTCATTTTTAAGATAAAACAGAATGAGGATTTTCTTTTAGTCCGGCGCTCGGTGACTCAATGAGCACCTGATGAATGTGAGTCCAATATTCTCTCTTAGCTCTGTTTCTGGTCTCCACCACCACCTGAGGGAGACACCTGTCCCTGTAGCTGCTAAATGCTCCACTATGTTCCAATATAGACATTCCTGTCTGGTGATGGTAAATAGCCAAGTGTTTGCTAACATGGTCATCGACTAAGCTCATTATATGTCAAACTTGTCCGTGACATTAACTTATAGTTAAATTAAAACGTTAATATCCAATTGGAATATAGAGAAAATATGGAATTGATAATTGTATATTGTGTTTTTTGTAATAAACAAGAGAAACTAGAAAACATTTTAAAAACAATTACAAAAACTTGAGCGTTAAAGTGAATTCTTGACTAGCTTTCATCATCTCATGGTCTTCATTAGAAGCATTTGCTCCGTTGTAATCACGTGACCTCAGTGTGTCATGTGATAACAGATGAAGACTGTGAGATGTGGATCAAAGCCAGTTCCTGGACCTTGAGTTAAGATATTTTTTTTCAAGCATTTAATTACAAAGAAAATCGTTCTGACAGCAACATGTTCTTCTGTGAGGGATAACTGACAGCTCGTCTTCATTCTATTGAGGCTTCAGTGGGAGTCAGAATTAAAACGCACTCCAAACGGCAGCTTGCGGAGGCAAAATGTCCTCGTCGGAGAGGAGAGATGTGATATTTGAAGACTGTCCAACGCAGACGAAATCCATCATTCTGTCACACGGTTCAAGTGATCGCACAACAACTCCCATCAATCATCCGAGCTGTGATTGGTTCTTCCGCAAAGACAGCGTGAGCCGGCGTCCCGTCTAATTCAGATGTCACGTTGTTTGTCTCGTTGTCTTCTTGACCCCCTTCGTAGGAAACGCTTCACTACAGCTGAACGTGAACCACGAGCAATGCCGCCATTAATCAACCTTTTAATAAAAGACGTCTTCTCTTTTCTCAGAGGTGTCCCGAAACGACTCCTGTCCAGACCTGCCCGAGATCCAGAACGGCTGGAAGACCACGTCCCACATTGCGCTGGTGCGCGGCGCTCGAATCACCTACCAGTGCGACCCGGGATACGACCTGGTGGGACGGGAGACCCTCACCTGTCAGCTGGACCTCTCCTGGAGCTCCCAGCCGCCGTTCTGTGAAAAGAGTCAGTTCTCTCATTCATACATCCGTGTGCATGTACCTGCTGTTGTTTGAAGCAATCCTTGTAGCTGGTGTTCACCTCAGAGTATCTACATCAACGCGATAGTTCAGACTCATTTCAGAGACACGATGAACTTTGTATAGCTCTGAATTAAAGTCCAACAAGCTTTCTTAACCTTCCCTGATTCGTCACCGGAGGAAAACAGCAGCCTTGATTATTGATCGACTTATTATGTTATTGAACAGAGCAGCGAGTTTAGCGGTGTCATCAGTGTCATCAGCCCTACGTAGCGGACGTTTGAAGCTCCGGTTTACGGCTCTGAGGGCCACAAAACAGAGGACTTTCCTCTTCTTATCAACGCTGATTTTGTTCTGAACTATTTTGAAGTTCACAAAGAAACTGTAAACAATCAAAAGCATGAATGCTCTCCAGTACGACAAAGAGCTACGAGTGAAAACAGACAACGAAACCGAGGAAAGGAGTGAGAGACGTGTGTTGACCTCATCTATTGACCCATAATCTATAAACTTTGATTTGTAAGTGTTTATTGTAAAGTAAGTCTGATGTGTGAACGAGATGGAATAAGCCCTGCAGCCCAATTGAGGTTGAAAATTCCAAAATTTTGGCCGCAGATCGTTTTGTTTTAAAACCACAGGTTTCAAACTGAAAGATATTAGTGTGGGCGGAGCCTAAAGTTGCGTTTAGTTCCACTTTAAAAACACGTTGCCTTCCCTTGATGTCGTCCCTTCAGCACATAAAACCTTTAAGGACAGAAGTGCATTTCAGACACAACGGCAATACAAAGAGCTTTACATGGAGCATAAAAAAAAGAATAGAATAAGAATACACGGTAGAAATACATTATATTTAAAGGACTTCTGAAGTGCAGCGGTAGAAGAATGTAACCTACTTAAAGGACTTTGGGAAAGGCAGACAGAAAAGTTTTAAAGTATTTATTCAAGAGAAGCTCAAGAGTTACTGTGTGTAGAAACTGAAGGTTGTCTCAGCTGATCTGAGAGCTGTGGATGCCTCCTAGCAGAGCCTTGTAGGTCAATAATGAATTATTTGGCAGCCATCTTCCATTCAGGCATTTTGGAAATTTGAGGGAAAACCACGTCCGGAATTTGTTATGAGGAACTGAAAGCACCCGAATGGATTTACATAAAGTATACTGAGAATATTCAGACTCCTCAGAGGAATTATTTATATTTCCACTTTCAAATTGTTTAAAAACTTTAAGAACGTTTCAGTCTTAAGACTCTGCAGGCTTTCGATTTAGGAGGATTGTTTGTGTTTCATATTTTATTACCTGATGACGAGAATATCTGATCTGAAGTTTCACCTTTTTAAATATTTCACTGGATCTCCCTTAATAAATAAACCTGACCTCATTTATAACAATGCTAATAAAATCGAATGGTCAAACAGCTCATGTGATGTTTGAGGCTATTTTACTTTTGTCTAATTGTAACGATATTAAGTGCTGATGGTCTGAATGTTTTCTCCACGTACTCTTCCTTTCTCTCAGTCATGTACTGCTCAGATCCGGGCCACGTGGAGCACTCCACCAGGTCTCTGTCCGACCCCAAACTCCTAGTGGGGACAACCATCCAGTACAGCTGCAGCGCCGGCTTCATCCTGCAGGGTGGCGCCACCATCACCTGCTACGGCCGCGAGCCCGGGACCCCCGTGTGGACGTCCCGACTCCCTCACTGTGTCTGTGAGTAGTCCGTACAGTCTTTTTCCTCCCAGGGGGAGAAGAAGCTGGTCCTTATTTTATTACTGGCTGAAAAGTCTCGTTGTTTACCGGTGATTTGTCAGCCGTGTGATTTAAAAAAATCTTTCATCAGTTGCACATTTAACTGACGATGAGAGGCTCTTTCCTCCCCGTGGCTGCGCGATCTAACATGAGTGGGTTTGTGTGATTTCTTGCCCGGCTCTCTCTCTCTCTCTCTCTTTCTCTCTTTCCTCCGCTGACACAGATCACAGTGTCTCCACATGCCAGAGACGATGCTTCATCTCCTGCGTTTTCATCTTGGCACTGACTTGTGTGTGTGTGTGTGTGTTTTCAGGGGTATTAATGTTTGCGTGAAGTGTTTGATATGCAAATGCGATGCTAATGCGCCGTACCAATCAGCTCTCAGACACCTGGAGGAGGAGGAGGGGGGGGGATTATCCATGAGTCACGTCAACTCAGCCACAGCCTGTCAAATCTGTCAGTCCAGCTCAGTCAGCTTTCTTCTTCTTCTTCTGTGTCTAGCGGAGGATTCGGTTTCCTGCGAGAACCCCGGCCTCCCCGACAACGGCTACCAGATCCTGTCCAAGAGGCTGTACCTGCCGGGCGAGTCGCTCACCTTTGTCTGTTACCAAGGTTATGAGCTCATCGGAGAAGTCGCAATTAAATGCATCCTGGGGAACCCGTCCTTTTGGAGCGGCCCACTCCCACTCTGCAGGGGTGAGATTTTTAACCTTTGGATTTATGCATGAACACAATATTCTTCAAAGACTTTTTTTGCCCCATGCTTGTTGATACAGATTGATCATGGCTCCTATGCATGCTAATGACCGCTCGCTGAACCCCCTTGGCCAAAATCGTAGCTTTGCAACCGCAACCAGCGACAGCATTTAAAGGAGCAGTGTGTAGGACTTTAGTGGTGAGGATGCAGATTGCAGCCAACTGAATATTCCTCCTCTTTTCCGTCGTGTCAGAGAACTACGGTGGCCTTCAGGTCACGTAAAACCAGGCGGCTGCTTTAGGGGCGGGGCTACACGCTGATTGACAGGTATACAGCGTCTCTATGTCATTCCTCCTCAGTCCAGATATGGTCACTGACGCTCATTAGTTGCAAAAAAAAAACATGGCGACAGCCGTAATCCAAGATGGCGACGGCAAAATCGTTATAAAGCCTCGAGTTTGGCCAAAGCATCCCCTGCTTTATGGTCTGTGTGACTCTAAATGGACCATAA